AGTATACATCCCGCGACCCGCTTCGATTACCGCGTTGTCTCCAGGAGAAGCATTCCAGAATCTGCATTACTTTACATGGTGGCTGTAAAGTCTCGACCGCGGTAGTGTGTTTCTCGTTGTGATTGAATAACGTTCTTCCAATTCAGTTAGAAACAGCGCGAACAACAATCTCGGAAATTCTGCAACTGCACAGGATCATCACGTCCTGGCGTCCGTCGACTCAAAATGGATTTCACTTCCCGAACGATTTGCATGTCATCCCGTCGGATGATCAATCAAACCTTGTCAAACAATAATTCTGATGTACTTGAGCATACGTCACGCGACGTGTTTCGATCACCGCTTTGTATCCTCGAGGAGTTGTCTAGAGTCTACATCACTTTACAATGTGGCTGAAAAGTCTTGACCGCGGAAGGGCGTTTTTCGTTATGATTGAATAAAATTGTTGCAATCCAGTTGAAAAGACTGCGAAAGGCAATCTAGGAAATTTCACTGCGGCACACGGTTACTACGACCAGTCGACCACATGCTTTAAGTAGATTTCACTTGCGAAACGATTTACATATCATCCCGTCCGATGTTCACGCAAATCTTGACGAACAATGATTCTCGTGTTCTCGAGAATACATCCCGCGACCCGCTTCGATCACCGCGTCGTCTCCAGGAGAATCATTCCAGAATCTGCATTACTTTACATGGTGGCTGAAAATTCTAGACCGCGCTACTGTGTTTCTCGTTGTGGTTGAATAACGTTTGTCACGTATTCATACGTGTCTTCTTTTAATTCAGAAGTTATCATTAACAAAAATGATTATAACAATGATTTATGAGGCGTAGCCATGGTCCATCCCCGAAGACTCCCGATTATTCCCCTTCAAAATAATTACAGATCAAATATTTTAGGAAACCCATTTTCATCAAAATTAACCTGGAAATCAAACATCTAGGAAAAGAACCAAAAACAGGAAATAAATAGGTCATTTCAGAACTTAAAAGAACAATACATATTCATCAGGATATTTAATAAATTCCAAACACTTGACGATTGAGTTTCAACATACTTCGTATAATATTCTTGATACAATCAGAATTTTACCACATGGAAATAAATAAATTAAAAACAATTAAATGGGCTCAAAAATTAATCTATTACCAGCTCAAGCTGTAAACATGAATTTTCGATAACAATAATTAAGGATAGAGCAGTAAAACATATTCAAAATGGATAAAGTTATCGGACAACGGAAAAACTATTCAATTAACACTGTCACTTCTACAACGTAATTAAAATGCGATTGAAAACATGGGCAGGGCCCAGATAATTAAAACACAGAAAAGCCTCCAGTTCCAGTCTCTGCAAATATCAGCATGACACCTTCAAATGCTTCAAAATCCTCCGATAATTGCCAATGTC